AAATAAATAAATAAATAAATAAATAAATAAATAAATTTCTCAAAAAATCTATATAGGGAATTTAAAAAACGCAGTGGTCAACAATGCAACCCGTCGTCTGAGGATTTAGCCACGTTCTAAGCCTCTTTCATGCAACATTCTCCTCTACTATTGCATTCTACTTGTCTTTGTTTTATAGTGGCTGGAATCATGTTGTGAAAGTTGCTTTGGCACAACTGTGACGCAGCCAAGCCATGGTCATGCCACGGCCATTTGGGAGGACAAAATCTGCCTAGTCCCACCCACCCAGGTTCCAGGGATCCCAAGGGATCCCTTTTGTCCTGGAGAAGCCCCTGAGAGATGTGGGACACAAGGAGGAACTCTTCAATGCCTCAAAATCGCCAAAGTCTCAAAATGGCCAGGTGGAGTCCCAATGATTTCCAGGCATCAAGGAGCCTTTCTGAGGCTCCAAAAGCCTTTCTCAGAACAGAGAGGAACCTTATGCATCTTGCTCCACAGGATTCCGTTCACTGGGTTACAAAACCTTTTCACCCCTTCTCACATATATTTTTGCTACAGCCTTTTCCTAATGTATGCAGTTTATAATGTGTTGTTCTTAAGGGATTTGTCTCCCTTTTAACTAAAGCAAATCTATAGGGATTTTTGCAAGACAGGCATTGTGTTGATTTGCACATGAATAATATGATATGAGGGGAAAGATTCTTGATGCCCAATTTCCTCCTTGCTTTTCAGGGAGGTTTTCCGCACGGACCTAGCTGATCACTTTCCCCCTTCTTTCCTCTGTCCTATATAGTCATATAGTTTTATATGACTATTCTGTGCCCTATGTCTTTAGGGTTACTGATGTTGCTTTTAATGTTTTTATCTTTATTTTTGCTCTCTGTTATATGTGTTGTAACTGTCCAGAGCAGTGCTTCAGAGTACAGCAGGATACAAGCTGAATGAATGAATGAATGAATGAATGAATGAATGAATGAATGAATAAATGAATAGATGGATGGATGAATGACTATCTTGCCAACCTCCCACCATCTGGAACTTCACTTGTATTTAAAACTATGGGTAGCAAGCAATACTTAGCTAAGAAAAGGCCTCTCAAACTCTCTTGCAGTATCAACTAAGTCTTTATAGGCTGGCCAAGCAAGCCTTTCTGAGGGATAGTCAAGTCACCTTGACTGTGACTTTCCAGCTCACAAAACTGTTCAGTGAAACAAACCAAATGGTTCAAAAGCAAAATGAAGAAAACAAGAACCAGCCTGGTTGGAACTTTACATTGCAGGAATACATAGCACATTTGCAGGGTGCTAATAAGTTATTAATACTTTACAGAAAATTCTCTGAACAACTGGGTTAAATAATTTCTCACTTGTAATCTTAGGAACAGTACACACTTGTGCAGTAGAGATGTCATAATATTTATCCAAGCAATGTAAACAACTGCCATGCTATTTTGAAAAAGACAATATCATGTACATAAGTACCTAATTTCACACATTCCTCTGCATGGAATACTGGTGGCACTCTGTCACTCAGAAGAAGCAAGCAGCAGAATGATGTACCACTGGTTTTATTTACAGCTGTGTAAGGGTTCTTGCTTTCGTTTAGAGACTGATGCCTAAATTGCAATTCAGTCCTGATTTAGTTCAGATTGCTTCAGGCTCAAACAAATTTACGTACTTTATTTATATTATTCATATGCCACCTTTCTCCCTACAGGGGAACCAAAGCAGCTCAGAGTAGATAAATCCAGAGATTTAAAAACATGGTACAACTATCACATTTTAAAAAACAAACAAACACATTAAACACATACATCCATGTGAAAAGAAGAGTACATGCTCTTTTAACTTTTAAAAACATGGTACAACTATCACATTTTTTTTTAAAAAAAAACATTAAACACATACATCCATGTGAAAAAAAGAGTACATCCTCTTTTAACTCGAAATGGAGAAGCTATGTGTGAAAAACTACGTAGACCTTATGATTCAAAAGCTTCTGGAACCACCTTTAGCAGCAATAACCTGAAGTAATCATTTTCTATATGATTTTATCAGTCTTGTAAGTCATGGTGGTGTTGGCGTGGGGCCAACTCCAGAGGCTTTATATGGATATTGCTTCTCCAAA